TGAGGGAAACAAAAGAAGTCTAATGTAACTCCAGCAGACCTGTGCAGTGTAGGGGACAGAAAATGTGGCTGAGCAATACACCATTGTGGGATCAGTATGTGAAGAGTGCTGTATTCTACCCGGAGAAAAGCTTACTGCTTGGTAACTTTTAAACAGGAGTGGTAGGTACCATTATGTCTGTATTGCAGAAAAATAATTGGTGCCAGTGTGACATTTGGAAAAGATAAAGTATGACAAGAAAACTGAACTATTTTGACTTTTATAATAGGCAGAAGAAAGATAATAAAGATTAAAGGAGAACAACAGGAAGACAGAACCAGAAAGAAATTACACAGGTCTGGCCGGGCATGGCCGCACATGCTTATAATTCTACTACTCAGGAGGCTGAGGCAGGTTAGGATGATTGCTTAGAGTTTGAGGCCAGTCTGGGCTACGGAGTTAGTTCAAAGTCAGCCTGAATTACATAGTGAGACTCTGTCTCAAAGGAAAAAAAAAATCATGATAAAATATAAATATTTTGTAGTGTTTTTGTGTAGACTGAATTTTCCCTAAATGCAATTGCTATGTAACCTGAGGGGAGAATTCTACTTTATTCACCACTTTAGGAAACCAATTTTTTGATGACAATGATCCTTATGGTATTTGAAATTCCAATACAGTAAATACATCTGATAGTTGTGCATTTGTAGCTGTCAAATAGGATGATTCTTTGCACGGTTGCAATATGTCAGAAACATTACATCATTATGTCTTCTAATGCAATCACGACTGAGCATTTACATACTTACACACATATATTTTCCAATAAAATATTTCATGTTTATGCTTCAATTAGAGTATTAACTAGTTTTTAAACAATTGTACTTAATCTCATTTCAGAATTTGAGGATATTACAGGAGACCTCACAGTACAGTGTGTCATAAAATGGGCACTGGGACAGAAAGATTCAGAATCATGCAATTCAGCCTTCATGGCTGGCCGCTACAGAGGCCTCCTAATTAGCATCATGTGTACTACAGTCTTTTCTTCTTCCTAGTAAAATACCAACACATGTAAAAATCACTAATATTAGGTCTATCTTCAACCAGAGAATTCCCAATTGCCTTATACAAATCGGCTTGATACTGAGATTTTTATAGCTCTACAAAGAAATCCTTTCTACCTAACCTTATCCAGATGAGCACCACAGATTGAACATCCTATCCAGAAAGCTTTATTTCTAACAAGTCAGCAAGTCATAGTGCAAAGTAGAAGAGACAGCAGTCTAAGTGTTGGATTTGGAATCATGGGCCTGTTGTTTTTTAAATGAATGGTTCTAAGCAAGTTATTTATAACTTCCTGAATCTGTTTCCTCATTTTTAAAGTCCATTTTGTTGGTACATTTTAGGTATACATAATGACCACATTCATCATAGGGAATTTGTACCTGTACATGATTTATCTTGATTCTTTTTGTTCCGTATTCCCCTGCCTTTCTTTTGTTTCCTGATTTTTTTTGTGTGTGTATTTGATAATTTTTTTAAAATTTTATTTTTAAAGTGGTAAAATACAACAGAACAAGACAGAATAAAACCAACTGAGATTGTACAGTGAAATTGGTACAGAACTTCACAGCAGGTTACCGGGATAACAGTAACAGGTATCACAGTATATTTCGTTATCTTTATAATAGTTGTTCTTTCAATCACATATATCAAAATGAGATGAAATATAGAACATTATAGAACTTATCAAAACAGAATATTGAATAGAGCAAACCATTAATCAGAACAGAGCAAAACAGTAATAAAAACATTTGCCTTCAAAGAGATGGCAGAAGGAAGTCCCCCTTATTTGCTATGGTCAACCTCCCAGGAGACGCTCAGATTTCTGGTTCCCATTTGCTAACTGGAGGCGCGAGGTGGGGGGGACAGGGGGACAGGAGAAGGAGGGTAGGGCAAGTGGAATGTTTGACTCTAGGCCATGCACCAGTAGGTTCACTATTGCTTAGCAGGGAGGCAGGCTGCTTGCTTGGTTTCCCAGCATCCTAAGTTCCAACATGGTGCAGATCTCAGGAGCTGCTGGTGATTCTCCGCGGGAAGGGCCGCAGTCTGCCACACCACCACTGCTTACCAGGGAGGGGAGGTGCTTGCTTGGTTTCCCAGGATCCTAAGTTCCAACATGGTACAACATGGGGGATAGCTGTTTCCTGATTTTTTAAGGGATTACAAAGGATGTTTTTCACAGGGCTGTGGTAATGAATCAATCAGATCTAGCAGTTGGTTGACCTTTCTAATGTCAAGTGTGGTATGCATGCCAGTAATTGCAGCTATTCATTCAGAAGGTTGAGGCAGGATAAGGAGTAAAGAGACCAGCCTAAACAAGATAAGGAGACCTGTATCGACAGTTTTCTTTTTTTGAGACAAGGTCTCATGATATAGTTCACCCTTGAACTCACTATATAACCCAAGCTGGCCTCAAACTCCTGGAGAAATCTTGCTTAGGCTCCCGAGTGCTAGGATTATAGGCAATGAGCTACCACAGCTAGCCTATCTTCAGATTTTTATCTGTTTTGTTCGGTTATGCATTCCAAAGCCCTATATTTCCTGGTACCTGCTTTAAGAAATGTGTGCTGAATGAAAGGATACTTGCCTTGTGAAATGTTCCTAAGCAATCCCACCTGATTCTGCTTCAGAAATGTATCAGTTACAGGCACAGATTCTCTCTGATGAATGTTAGAATGTTATTATTATGTATATCTAAAATGTCCCAAGACAAAGGGAAAAAAAAAGAAAACATAGTGCCTGACCCCACAAAAAAATAAACAAATGCTCACAAATTCAGTGCTTACAAAAAGTAAATATGTAAAATCTGCTCTTAGAAAACTTAGAAAAATGCTGAAAGATGACAAGTCAACATAAAAGCTGTCACAAGGCAACATAAGACTACTAAACAATGGTATGGACAGTAAGTTCTGTGCATCTGAAGACAAGCTATATCACTATGAGCCGGAGTAGCACAGAATATAAAGTGTGAAAAGGAGAAAGCGGCCATGTTAGAGACTTCTCCATCTAATCCATTCTTCTTACAATCTAAGAAAACTTTATAACACCCCAGCAAAACAGTACCATGACCAAGGATATTCCAATTCTTTCTCTTATTTTACAGGATGTTCCCTGCATTCTAGTTCCTGTCTTCTTTATCTCTGGGTACTCCAGATCGATGAAGGCACAAGTGGCTACTGAGCCCTTGATGTGGCTAGTCTGAATTCAGATGCGCTGAAGTGTAAAAAGAATGCAGAACATCTCAATATTTTTACTGATTATAGGCTATTATTCCTCAAGTTAAGTAGAGTACATTGTTAAAATTAAACCTGCCTATTTCTTTTACTTTTTAAACATAGCTACATACAAATTCCAGAAAAATGAAAACAGACTGTTATCTCTTACCAATTTTAAAAAGTCAACTCAAAATGAATTTAAGGTTTAATCGTGAGACCTGAAACTGAAACTTCTAAAAGGTAACAAGGGAAAATGCTTCAGGACATCAGACCGTGCAAAGACTTTTGGGACAAGGTCCCCAAAACACAAGATACAAAAGCAAAAACTGACAAACGGGACATTAATCTAAAAAACTTCTGCAGCGCAAACAATCACCAGCATGAAGAAACAACCTATAGAATGAGAGAAAATATGTATTTGATAAAGGGGTTAATATTCAGACTACAGTGAACTAAAAAAAAGACTACATTTAAAATATAAGCAATAGACCTAAATAGACATTTCCCAAAAGAGATCAACGACTGACCAACAGGTATATTTAAAAAATCCTAGCATCACTGGTCATCAGATAATGTAAATTAAAACCATACATTAGTATCACCTCTGGTAACCATGGCTATAATCAAAGAGACAAAATGTAACAAGGCTGGCAAGCCTTGCACACTATTGGTAGGAATCTAAATGAGTATAGATAGTTACTGTGGAAAACAGCATGGAGAGTCCTCAACAAATTATACTACTAGGCATACACACAAAGAAAATGAAGTAGTATGTTGAAAAGACATTAACACTCTCAAGTTCACTTCAGTAGTATTCACAATAGCTGAGAAATGGGAAAATCTGACTGTCCACCAACTGATAAACAGATAAAGAAAATGTGGTACACCTACACAATGGAATACTACTCAGCCATAAAAAGAATGAAATTTTATCATTTGCCACAATATGGATGGAGGTGGAAATCATTAAATGCAAGTAAGGCACACAATGATTACATTCTCAAGCTGACTTCATACTCGTTGACAGGAGAATGCCTGTCAACGTTACTGGAAACTGGAGCAATGAATACTTAAGAGACCAATGAATACTAAGTTACAGTTAGGAGTAAGAAGTTCTAGTGTACTCTCATAGGATCAATCGGGGATAGCTACAGATAACAATAATGTGCTGTATATTTCAAAAATCTAGGAAAAAGAATTTTGAAACTCTCAATGTAATTAAATAGCTGGAAAATAAGTACATTTACCCTGATTGAAACATTTCCGTGTATACCTGTGTCGAAACATCGTGCCCCACCAAAAGATACCCTTTTTTACATTTTTAATTATCAGTTCAAAAATTAAATTTAAAAATAGGGCCACGAAAAAAATCTTAGAAGTATGTGTGTGGTACCAATCAGGTTCCTATTTGACACCCCCCCCACCCCTTCCCAGTGGTACATTCAAGCCGCAAAGCTGTCCTCCAAAGCTTGAATGAACCGATCATAATCTCTGCTACAGCCTCTATTTTCTGGTCTGTGTCTTCGACAAGACTAGGAGACAGAGGCCCTCCTCTGAATGGTTGTCTTCTATGCTTCGCGGACAAAAGATCGCCCAGACAGAGCGGAGGAAGCACAGGAGTACAACAGGGTTCGAGCTGCGGCCGACGGCGGGAGGCGGGGGTTAGAGTACCCGGGCGCCAGCTGAGCAGGCCTGGGCACTCACAGCCAGAGAGAGGCGGGGGTCGCGTTTGGGACTCACCAGCCCGTGGTCAATATCGGCGTCGGGCTGTTTGGCCGACGGTGGCGAGTATTCTGCGTAACGCAGCGCCTCGCCGGCAGAGGTCACGGCGCCGCGAGCAGCCATGGCAATGCTCTTTACAGACCCGGAGCGCCGCCTACGAGGCGGCCGGCGGGACAAACTTCTTGCGACGACTTAAATACGCGCTTTCAAGATACACTTCCTATTTGAAAGTGAAACCCTCGAAGATTTCCTTTTCATTTTATCTCGATTAGCTTGTCCCATTAAATCTTAAAGTCAAACTCCGCGCCAGACCCTTGGAGGAGTAAAATCCCGCCTCCCTCCCTTAGATTTGCAAACTCTAAGCCCAAACTGGAGACTCAGATTTCCCTGGTTACAAGAGGCTCAGAAAATATTGGGGGCCGGGGATTTAGCTCAGCGGCATAAGCGCCTGCCTTGCAAGCAGGCGGTCGTGAATTCGATCCCCGGTACCGATAAAAAGAAAAAGACAAAAACAAAAAACAAAGAAAGAAAGAAAGTATAGGTGGGGACAGGCCTGATATTTCCTGACCCAGTCCAGCCTTTCTGCCCACCCACGACTGATTACACTTCTGTTTAATGTCATGTTTCTCCCACCCAGCAAGAGGTAATTTGCTTATTTTAACCCCAAACGAATAATTTGGTATCGGAGATCGAACTCAGGACCATGAGCTTGCAAGTTTTGGAGCAAAAATTAATTAACGATTGAAGCTTGTATAATGTATTCCAACTCTTTCCAATTGGGCATCTCTTTTTGCCCTTCATACCAACTGCAAAATTAGCTTACCAGAAGGGAAGTCTTTTATTCTCTTCTTTTCCAAAATTAAAAGTTTTAAAGATCCCTTTATTCATGTTTAATATTAACATACCCAAGAGGTTAGGGTGGAGGAATTTACAATCTAAGAGAGAAGCTAGCAGAGACATGATGATAATAATAAATACTAAAATATGGATTGTAGGGCAGTATAAAGAGCTTGAAATAGAAGTAAAGACGTCTGAGTTCTAGCATATATGCCATCTTTCTTTAGGTTTGTGTCTCTGAACATACCCATTATGTTTTCCTTTCCAACTCTTTCTTATCTGTAGGAGAGGAGTCACGTTTAAACATTCTGACTCAGGAAACTTAGGAGCACAAAATGAAAAAAAAAAAAAAAGAAAATGAAAGCAACTGTCACAAGGGTTTTGGGTTTTACAGGAAGGAATGACTACTTTTAACAGATCATCAGAGGTTTGTTGGAGGTTTAGCCATTGAAATGGTCAGTAAAGAATGAGTAACATTAATTTAGATGGAAGAGAAAGAGTGCCAGAAATCTTAACTGGGAACAAATGCAAAGACATTTTAAAATGTCATGTAGGACTGGGTTAAAAATATTCTAATACTCTTCAGAAGCATGATCCTATGATGGAAATTGATTTTTATTAAACCAGTACACAACTATGAAGGATATTGATGAAACAATTAAATAGATTGGCACCTACAGGTCAGTCATCCATCTATTCATCCATTCATTTATTCAATAGCTACTTCCTGAGCATTTGATAGGTATCACACATTATGGTGGACATTAGACCTTTATCATCAAGCAAACAACAAGGTTTATGAGTCCTTGGAGCTCACAATACATAGGAGGTTTATGAGGTTCCTAGCAACTGGTTCCTAATAGTCACAGGTTGCTAACTTGGAGCAAATGATCACTTAAGGCAAGAGCTAGATGAGCCAGTTCTTTTTAGGACAGCTGCCCTTGCTTTAAGAACTAGAAGGAAGTTTCCAGAGCAGAAGCTAGGAAAAGTGGGAAAGGAGAACAAGCAAGGGGCAGGATAGTAAGACACGAGAGAGTAGGCTCTGCATGGTTACATCACAGGTAAGACCCCAAGCTATAGGCATGATTGACCCCCATTCCAGTGCTGTCTTGAGTATCCACCCCTACAGAAGTGCCCAATTTTAAACAAAAATTTCATCCACCAAGACAATTTGGCCTCCAGTTTCTGGTTTTTTGGTGAGTTCACTCTCATCAGCAAAGAAAGTATAAAAATACAGGAAAAACTGGGCATGACAGGAGGCTGATGCAGGAGGATCATCCCAAATTCCAGGTTACAGAGTGAATTCAAAACCAGTCTGAACTACATAGCAAGACCCTGTCTTAAAAACAAAATGAAAACAAAGCCTAGAAAAGCAATAAAATATTTTTTCTTCCCACAAGGCTCTCTTCCTAAATTCACTTTTCTGACTTCCTTGAGAACAAAGAGAAGCAATTTTTGTGAAAGCCAAAAGAAAGGCCACATTAAATTTTTACTGGCTTATTTTTATTAGTTGTACCATTTCAAAGACAGATTACATTAAATTCAATAGAGTTTGTAAAAGAAAGGAAGTAATATAGTTTGGAAACATCTCAGTAAAAATGTTTTTAAAAATGTGTTGTTTGAAAGGGATTTTGGGAGGATGACTTCTTCATGTTTCAATTTACTTATTAATATAAAGGGTTCCAGGAGCACCTTCCTTATGAGGATTACATGATTAAATGAGCTGACTTTCTAAAGCTCTCAGAGCAGTGCCTGATACCCAGTAGTACAAAAGCGTTATTACTATTTTCATTATATGACCTCCTTCACCTATTTATTTCCTTGGTATTTTCTTTTTTTCTGTCCCGCATTTCACCACCAGTTGTGTTTATTCTCTAATGGTTACCTTGTCTTATACTGCAAACAAATATCAAAAATTAAAATTACAAAAACAAATCTAAAAATTAAAATTACAAAAAAATTATAAATTTGATTAAACATTGTGTAGCAATGAAACACACATATGAGGAAGAGGTATGAAACTGAATGCCTTAGAAAGACTTGATAAATTTAAGTTATTAAAGAAAAAGAGAGAACAGCATGAAAAGAGAATCACAAAAACACTGAATGTTATTCTACACTGTTTTCCCCTAAAATATCTTATTCCTTGTATTGCAAACAAATCCAAATTAGGAATCTAGAGGATGAATTATCATTATGGAAGAAATCACAGAACTGAGTCAGAGAACCCACATTCACATAAAGAGCTTTCATCCTGTAAATATGCAGAGTACATGAATAGAGATACAATGTATCCATTGAGGTAATGAAATTTCACTGGGATAGGGGAATACTTATTAGAGAATAATGTAATAAAGCTCCTTGGAGGAGATAATGAAAAAAGTTGAGAAACTGATTTATATATGATGTTAATATTTTTTGAGAGTATGTGTCCTATCATAAAGTGGTAAAGCCCTTATCTAGCATATACAGGAACCTGGGTTTAATCCCTAGAACCATTAAATAATTAATTATAATTTTAAAAGTAAGTACCATTAGTATTAGGATCATAGATTTGATGAACCCTCAAAGTATTATCCTGGTACAGTCAGAAAAAAAGCTGTACTGTACCACAGAAAGCACAGGGCACAAAAGAGGAGGAGTCTGGAATGTTTAAGGAAGGAATGAGAAAAACTAACTGTCAAACTGACACTGTAAAATGAATGTAGATTTCCTTCATTAATAGGATTGAGATAGGCTTGAGAAAAAGAAGGTACAAGAAAAATCACAAAGAAAAGAATAAAGATGAATGAGGGCAGACAGACTCCCAAAGGCCAGATATTGCACAGCTTTGTATGATAAGCAAAGGCATCTAGAGTTTATTTTATAGATTAGAGTAGAACATCAAAAAATATTGAATCCTGTAGTGACAAGAGAGAGCTACATGCTAGGGGGACCATCCTGTCAGCGATGTGGTGATGGGCCGGTCGGTAAGAAGGTTACCACAGTAGTCTGAGTAAGTAGGAATGAGCTAGAACAGCAGCAAGGGACAGGAAAGGAGGGACATAGTGACCTGTGTTGGTTCCTTCATCACACAGGCCTCTGTGGCCTCTCCCAACATGGACCTCAGCATTGATTTCCTCTGCACCCTTGTGGGGGAGGGAGATCAGCCTGAGCCAACCAATGTACCTAATCACTCCAGTCATGGATGGTACTTTGCTTTTTGAGACACTGGTATTATAAGAAAGGTTTGCTGAATGTTTCTGAGAAAGCAGCATCTTTTCTCTCCAGCTGGATATGAACAGGGAAGCATTAAGTCCTATTGTGGTTGGAAGTTGTTTGATAACCATGAGCTAGCATCACACTAATTTATCATCAAAAAACAAGGTTACACTTTTGAGAAAAGACAGTGCTATAAATAATTCATTTAGGATGATAAGTTTAACTGTAAGTAGCCAGCAAACCAGGACATATGGTGTTCGAGCCATTAGAAGAGATGCTCCTAGGATGAGGAAAACCATCATTAAAAGCTATGAGGAAATTAACTACTTGATAATACTGTTTACCACTATATAACACTTCAGCTGAAATTGACCATGTATCTGAACTTTTTGGTCATGAGAGTAAAAACATCCTTTATTTTAATTTTTCTTTTAATTTTATATTTAAATATTTAAGCAATTAAAATGTGCTATGGATAGAATAATGAACCTTCAGATTCTCCAAAGCCAGATCCAACTGTTTTCAAGTTTTTGCCTTAATTCTTCATCTCCTTTTTTTTTTGACAAAATATTTTAAAACAAAACAAGACATGTCATAATGAATATTTTAGTATGGGTTCCTGCTAAATATGAACTATTTTTCCAAATAGTCACACAATTGTGACACTTAACAAAAATAATTGACAGCCATTCATGCCATTTAATATACAGTTTCATATCCACATTTCTTGTTTGATCCAAAAATATTTTAACAGAGATTTGTTCACATCAAGATCTAAATAAAGTCCACACATAGTATTAGATGGTTATGTCACATAAGTAATCTCATTTAATGAGGAAAAATCCATTTTTGTCCTTCCCAAATGCAAATTATTTTTAAGAAAACTGTCACCTTAAGACCAGGTTTTAGTTGGGTTTTCTGTATTTGCAACCAAAGTGCTCAAAATGATCAAAATAGATTGTACAGTTTGGTGTTTGGGTGCCCAGCCTATTGAGACAAGATAGAACCTTTAGAAGATAGGGTAGCGTATAAAGAAGTTAGGACATTGGGGGTTCACCTTTGAAGAGAATATTGGTGTCCTGATGCATCCTCCCTTCTTTCTCTTTGCTTCCTGTTTCAAAGAGGTG